CCATAAATCAGTGCAGTTCATAAAAAATATTTTATTAAAAATTATCTAAATTATCTGTAGTTTATTTAAAGAAGTTTTCTGGAGGTGAGTGTTACATTAAAATATAATATCAAGCCTAACAGTATTTTCTGGAACATCATACTACCCTGTTACGCAGATGCTATGCATGGAAAACACATCTATGGAATCATGTCTATCTTTTTAGTAAGACTGTGAAGTAACATCATGCATAACAAACCTCCACGTACAAATTAGTCATAGGGAAACTTACTTTTGCGTGTAATTAGCTGTCTGATATCTATCTCTTTCTTGCCGAAGTTGCTTCACATCCTGTTAGAAAATATGATTGCTTGATTACAGGAATACTTTGGTGGAGCCATAACAAATTTTGCAAAGTTACAAGTGTTAACATATGACTGCTTTTCTTTCTTTTTCTTCCTTTCTTCTTGCATGTTTTCCATCCTACAATGGTTGAACTAGTTACAAGTAATTTCCCTGTTTTTTTCTTCAAAGATCCAATAATATGACCCCATTCTCACCCACAACCCAACAATCATTCAAGATTTCATATCAGTGCACAGCTTGCATTCCAATGAGCTGCCCTGCAGCAAGCAGCTATTTCTGGACCAGTCTACCAGATTGCACAAGTCCTTTATACTAAGGTCTTTCTGAGATGTCCTTCAATAAAAGTGCATCAGGGCTGTTTAGGTCATACAATGAACTATTGCAAACAAGGCTTGGTTAGGTTGCAGAGTACAGTGTATCAGAAACATAATTAATCTGGCTATATGGTTATATTGAAGGATAAAACAAAAAACTGATACATTTTAAAGTGGATAAACTTACATCTTCATACTTTTCACAGGTTGCAGTGACATTTGCTAGATTTTTCTCAAGCTCAGCTGCTTTTTGTCGAACAGTTTGTAACCTGCTTGTTAGTTCTGTGTTTTCACCTGAGATGGAATGAAGAAAAGAGGCTTTGATTGAATCAACAGTAGAAAATCAGAAATCAAATGAAGTAAATGTTCTAAGCCAGGGAGAAACAGTTGAATTTACAGCCTGATTATCCTAATTATCCAGTAATGTAATGGTAGTCCTTAAATCTAATTCAGATTATAATGAAGATTTCTAGTATCTCAACTGTTATAAGTTTGGTTTTGTCAAAATTGAGTTTGTTAGTTTGGCCACGATGTCAAGAGGGAACAAAATCAGCTCATTGGAACATGTTAGGATGATGATGACAATTGAAACAAACCAATGACAGTGTGTCACGTAAATAGTGACCCAAAATCTATTAATTCCTACACTGACTACGACTAGTAGTATAGCAGTTGAAACATGGTGCTATCCCGAGTCAAACAAACTAACAGTTCAATAATCATTTATGTTACTGACTGCAAGACTCAGGCAGCATGTGCTTGTGGTGATTGGTTGCTGCATTTGAATGCCAGACAATTACTTCCTTAACTCTGACAATGATCTCCACTGAGATTGTAAAAAAAATAAATGATCTTGTTCACTTTCAATAGTCTTTTCACCCTTAACTCCCATGAGTGACCAAGACAGAATTTCTCCTTACAACATCAATACGATATCAAGTAGAAGAGTAATGAGAATAAAGAAAAATATCAATTAAGAGATTATTGGTTGATCCAATGCCAAATCTCTGAAGCAACAGGAAAATAATTGTATAGCAGACTTTAAGGAGAATAATTACTGATGAGATCTTGGGAGTGAGAGGGTTAAGGACTACCATCATCCACACCACCAGATGACACACTTAGCAAGGCAGAAAAATAAAAAATAGGAAAAGAAAAACAAGAAGTTTGAACAGTGAGTTAAAGATAAGGCAGAAGAGAAAAACCACAAGAATGACAACTTTATGTATACTTAAGTGCGTTCCTTACATGCAGCTGTAAGTAAGTCATCATTGGATCCAAACAGAACATGCTGCCTTTTACTATAGACACATACATGTCATATGCATGTCACTCTACATAACCAATTTATTTATCAAACCAAACCTGGAGATCCCTCCACAATATGCAAAATAATTTCTAATCACCTTTCACCATCTTGAAAGTGAACAATCATTGGGTGCAAAGTGCACAAAGCTGGAAATTTATATGCATTTGCATTTGAAAATACAGCATCAAGTCCTGTGGCACAGGCCTAAGTTACATTCAAGTTTACAATTATCATCTCTATTCAGTGTAATCATGAGCAACCTACTTTGTTTGATTTCATATTTCCTCTGCAGTTGTGACACAGAGCTCTGAAGCTCTTGTTTCTCTCCCACTAGAATACCTATCGTCTGAATATGAACCTAGATGAAAACAAGAGCACAGCTTTAAAAAATACTGTACAAAAATACAACAACAAAAAAAAGGACAGTGAATCACAAACTATTTACTAATCAACAAATTCAAAACAGAATCTACACATTGAAGGATTTTCATCCAAAAGCAATCATCTGATAATCACTTCAGTAGGTTGTACTTTGAAATTTCAACGTTTAAGAGGATATGACAATAACAGAGGTTGACAAAATATAATAACGAATTCAGAAACCAACATACACTATATCTCTTCCATAATTGCTTATAATGATCAGGCATAGACATGTAGAAGCTATTAATTTTACAGATAGAAGCAAAGGCTAATGACCATCTACATCTGGCTTTGACACCTCTTATCAGGAGCATATTTCAATGGCCATATCTGTTGCTAAGAGAAACATCTTCATGCGCAATATTTCACAGCAATAATTAAAAATAGTTTATAGATTTCTTCAGTTTTTTTTTATATTTATTTATTTTACATGTTAAAATGACATATACATGTATTTCTTCAATTCTCACCTCAAGCTGTTCTTTCAGTGACCTCTGTTCCAAAAGCTGTTTGTTTGCTAACTCTGTTCTTTCCTAAAGGAAAGTTGATATGGATCATGCCTAAAATTTTTAACAGCTACAAGTACATGAAATTCACAGTTTTTTTTTTATTTTTATTTTTTTTTTAAAAAAGAATTTAAGCAGTGTTCTCCAGAGACACAGATGGTCAGCATTTTCCATGACCACTTGTTTCAATACTACAGACTACTTTGATTTATCAAGGCAATAACAAAAATACCTATCTTGATCAGAAATAAATTTTAACCTATCCAGTTAGCATTTGTTCATGCATATGGCTGGCTGCAAAAACAATTTCTGGAAAAGGTTGTTGCAGTACATGTACAAGAGCAGGATACAGCGTGTACATGTAAATCAGTAAATTCAAAAGTAATACATCCCAGAAGAAAAGAAATAGAAGGCAAAGAATCATGCTTTGCTTTGTTATACACACTGATTACCTTATCCATCATTGCATTTAACTATAAATTTAGTATTGTACATCAAGCACACAGATCGTGGCCATTCAGTAATCAAATAGTTTATGTATAACTGCACATATATCCACAAGTATTATATCATCAACTTTAAAAATTTAATTTTTGATACTCTTACTCGTTTGATCTGTTCCTGAAACTGTATTATTTGCCTTCTCTGCAATACAATAAGGATATAAAAAATAAAACAATATGAAAGGGAAAAACAAATGTAAGAGTAAATCAAACGAAACAAATAAAACCCTAGGAATGTTTAAGGAATGCTGAACTACTTGTTTACTCTAACACTTTTATGTACAGTACAATTTGAACCATTTCAATGAGACTTGTAGCTCACTTTTGAATAAAATCATTACAAATTTTTCATGGTGCAATTTCTTCAATTACTGCATCTCAACAGATATTTTAATATGTACAAGTTACCTGTTCGTTAACTTGACTGTTAAGTTGTTCATTGGATCTCTTATAAGACTGTACTCTATCTTCAAGCTCATGGTTTCTACTCTGAAAATCATGAGAGAAAGAAGTGTTGCAATACATGTAAACAACTTTCCTTTGAACTAAAAGTAGGTTGCTTTTGAAATTTTAATCATCATTATCCTACAGTACAAAGATCAAGTAACTACCCATTTCAAAAACTTGTTGACCAGTAAGAGAAAAATTTCTAATTAATACAGTACACCTGAACATGAAGAACCACAGTACACACATTGACTTTATAAGTTTTAAGCTAGTATGGGGTTGAAGTCACCCATGTAGAAAAAAAAATGAATGGTACTAAGAAGTATATTAAGTCTGTTCATCAAACAGCAAAACCTACCCTCAAATATTGCACCTTTTATAAACTGGACAATAGTGTACTGATTGAATAAACTATCCCTTAATTGAATCGCAGATACTTACAACTCTTAACTCGCAAATCAATTAAACAATGTGTCGGAAAAATCACATATATATATACAGGTTATTTGATGATGATGCAAAACCATTAAATGAAGTTAAAATCATTAATGCCCTGAACAAACAAAACCTATCAACTTGTGACAAATTGATAGACAACATGACTGCTTGTGACATGATTCTATAACACCAGTAAGAGAAATTCACAAATACAGTATTCTTGAGTAATGATTGTGACAGGAATAGAAACAATAACAATGAAACAAAACAAAAGACAAATCGACTTAATAATTGCATTTGGGTGAAATTGGCTTTTTGATAAAAGTATGAGCATGAAAATTTAAAATAACACAAGCAGAATTGCTGAAAATTCCCTCCACTTAACAAAAAAAAGTACATGTATTGCTGAACTGCAGGAGCTACACAGTTCAAAACATTTTTCAAATAGAAGCAGACTCACACACCTCAAGAGACTTGATTTCATGAAAAAGTGGATCTTCACCATTGATATAGTGATCCTACCAAGAGAACATCACAGTTCATGAAAATATATCACTTTAAGTTAAAACCATACACACTGAGTAATACCTGTACAGTAATGTTTGGATATTGCAACCATAGAATGATAAATCCCAAGTATTTCTTTCTAGTGAATAGTTTCATTAAAGTTACCAAGCCCTATATAATTATTTGCAGTTCAAAGCTTTTAGAATTCTACATCACTTATAATAAGCAACTGTTGCATGAGGTTAGGCATGATCATGAATAATAGCAAAACTGGGTCTGAGTTATCTGCCTCAGTCTTCAGCTTTGGCAGATGACAAAGACATGGGGTTTGATCATTCAAATTATCTTGAAGAAACCAAATGACAAATGCATATCTGTTGCAAATATTGAATTATATGTCAACTACTTCACATGCTTTTGTATACTGATTAATTAAAATACTCTGCTCTTGACCAATCAAATTTTCCATACTAAGCCCAATCAGATCAGCAAATTGGCTACTTTTTTAATGATTTATGTAAATTTTTGTTGACAAAGTTTTACTAGTTACCATGGCAATGGCAAAATCTTTGCATTCTACAAAAAAAAAACTGTAGTATACATGCACTAGTTACTACTTTGCACAGTAGTATCACTAAATCAGAAGTCAATTTTCCTCACCTGGCTGACTGTAAGTCCATTTATTTGTGAACACTGAGAAACAAATCATAAAATTTCAAAGACATTAGCATTTCATTTTGCAGAGCTAAATCACGTACTCTATGGGTAAACCAAATTATATTTGCAGATTAATTTGAAGACATTGTACACACATACACACATGTAGGTACATGTTAGTACTTACGAGTTGTTTTATTTTTTCAGTGGTTGAGTATTCTCTGCAAAATAAAAGATTACCACTATAGTTTATTGGTGACAATCAGAAATCCCACAGTATTACAAGGATAAAGTTATAGAAGGAAAAACCCTCTCATGTTTTTGGTAAGAAAGTGCAATTCCCCAAAAACATCTGCTGCCACCATGAGAAGCTTGTGGCATGAGTGTACATAAAAACTGGAGTTTTAAGAGCTGAAGGGTGCAGGGCAAAATGATGCCATCTCTTGGCCAGGTTAAGCATACATGTAGTACTTTCTCTTTGTGCTTGTTTCACATTTAACCACGGTTTAAAGGGAGTATTTTCTTTTCTTTCTTTCTTTTTTTTCTTCTAACTACCTCCTACACAACAGCATTTGGAAACAAGGGACTAAAACTGTTAGATCTTTATGCTCAAGTTTTCTCACACCCCAGGTCATGTGACCAGTTTTCCATATTTCCATTGTACATGAGGTTGAAGTTTGTGATAAAAAAAACCACCATCTTGATCTTTGTCCTTATTTTTTTTTGGACTGTGGACTAATACATTTCAAAAACAGTACACCAGGGAGAAAATTATAGGAGACAAATACATGTAAAATACACAGGATACATGCTCACAAATTAACTTTTATGGAAAGTTAATTTGAGAAAAAGGCTTTTTCCACATACCTGTCATTTGAACCAGATGGAAGAGGATGATCAACAACTCCACCAACCAATTCCTTAAAGAGAGCAGGCAAATCCTGATCAGTAATAATGTCTTTTCTCCTTACTACTCTACTGGGTTATGCATTAAAATTATGAAAAGTTTCATGTTGGTCACTTCTGGGAATTTAAGAAAGGTTAACATTTTACCCATTGTCTGTTTGTCTAGATGCATTTAATCATATCAAAAATTTTTATGAGTAATAAAGATGAACTAACTTGTGGTTGATTGCTGAGCTCCTCTGAAAGATGTGTTCTGTGAATACAAAACAAATAGTTAATCAACGATCTCCTGGCTTTCTTGCTTAACACTCTTCCAAGATGTTGGTAAGTCTATCAGCAGACAAAAAAATTTTTATGAAAACCAATTGAGATCTGAAATCTGAGGTCAGGATAGATGATTTTGGATCATGAACCCCATCCAAAATGACTAAATGTCATCCCTTCTTTAAATTAAATTGTTAGGGGGAAGCCTCAACTGAAGGATCAAGTTGCCATTAAATTGATGAAAATGTCTCTTTTTATGAAGATTCCTCTGTCAGTAACAAAATGTATAAAACCTGAAACAGATACAAGTAATATTGATGTTTGAATTTCCTGTTCAGCACTGTATTGATAGTATGATGTGATACCCTTGGAAAAAGGATCCACAAAAATAAAACTTTCAATAGAAAATCCAATTGCTCTTCATGATGATACTGTAACATTAAAACCAGTTTCCTCTCTTTATAAAAAAAATCATCACAGCTTACTTTTAGGTAAGAGATTTAGCAAATCTCTGAAAGACCAATTCATTCTGTAACTGGGAGACTACTGCTTCTACACTGAAGACAATCTTAACTGGGTGAGTTGGCATAATTACAATGTATGAGTACATTAGCTACAAAACTTGAAATAAAACAGTCTACTTTGCAGCCACATCCACAAACTTCATTATAATTACACTTTACATACCCATTTACAGGTAATAATGGTGGGTTGAGATGATTTACCTTTGAAAAAAACAAAACAGAACAAATATGAGTAAGTACACTTTTTCAACAATATTCCTTACAAATGTTTGCAAAAAGACTCAGCGGTTCATTTAACCTATATAGACTGTACAAAACATAATATATGTGTACAACAAAGCTATGCCTATTTCATGTGTGGTTACCCTTTTATTCACCACTGAAAGACAACAAATGAATCATTTCATCTGTGTAAATAGTTAAGTTTCAGTGTGGTAATACAGGTGAATTGATGATATGGAGAGATACATATAAATAACATGACATGTGCAAGCTGAAATAAATTACAACACTTTTCTAATTTTACATGAAGTTAAATCAAAGTCACCTAGAAACACTTTGGATTTTCTAAAGCTGATATTTTGATGGTTAGTACCCCTTTGTCAGAGAGCTGACGAAGGGCTGATACTTGAACATCGGTATTAGAAACTCTTTACAGTGGCCAATTTACATGATTATGATCTTAGTTCATACAACCAAAATTATCTTGTAAACCTCCTCCTCCGTCCACCCCCCTGCTCTGGTGGAAAGGTGATAACAACAGTGTATTTACACATAATGTTTAGGTGAAATTCCTCAGCAATTTATATTTTTTTTGAACTTCCAAGATCTAATTAGTAATCCTCCTTACTGTCCACCATACGTTTCTGATTATATTAGTTCTAAGAATCTGGTACTGGATCAACTAATAAAAGTATACCATATTTATTTGATTAAGTGCCCACCTCAAATAAACACCTCATTTTAGGGCAGAAATATTAAATAAATGCTGCCCTTGAATAATAGACTCAAAATGCACACAGCAATCAATGCTTTGATTGCCGTTGGAAATTTTAGGTGAACCAGACACCAATCCTTTTGAATGTACCAGTTGTGATGTTGAGAAAGCATATCTGACATTAGATCTTTATTCACTTTTATTATCTTCATGTATTAACATGCAGATTGTGAAATTGAAAATGATATAAAAAATTATTTTTTAGACAAGCACTGAGACATGTTTCTGTTTTTTAAAATTAAAATGGTCAGTTACCATACTATTGTTTTTGTTTGCAAGAAATAAATTGGATTTTAAATAAATGCCTCCCTCGTATAAATGCCACCCTTCAATAAACACTGCACTTTTAACTGAATAAATACGGTACCCTCATGGATGTTTCCATTGGTCTCATCATTGGAATTTAACAACTAAACTGCAGATCTTTTCAAGTAAGTAGGATTACTTTATAGGAGGTAAGTTTCTAAAGAAACTGTGGTGCTGCGTTAGTGGGGTAATTTAGTTTAGGTCAGGTAATTTAGTGTTAACAACTGAGTTGAAAATGTAAATTGGCCACCAAGAATAAAAAAGCTGATGTTTTGAGTGTTAGCCCTTTGTCAGAGTGATTTAAAACGTCAGCTTTTTTACCCTTTATGGTGGCCAATTTACGTTTTCAACTCAGTTGTTAACACTAAATTACCTAAGATTACTTTAAGATTCAAATGGACAACATTTACAAACAACTACCATGCAAAAAGGGGTAAATCCCTTTAGATCAAAATGTATATGTCAGATAATTACCAGTGGGAGGTATAAATTGCTATGCTCTTATTTAGCTTCAGGCAGATTATAACTAGTTATGATACTTGAAAACAATTTTACTGATATGATATTGTGAATGAAAATTTGGCAATATCCACCCGTGGATTGCTGGTCAATGCAGATTTTTATGGTTAGTGCATGGCTGTACATTTATTTTACTATTAAAAATGACTAATTTTCAGATAATTTACAACAAACACTGAAATTCAAATTTAAATAGCTCAGTTAAGATATCCATTCAGTAAGTAAGATCACTAGGGTAATAAATTTAAAGCTAAAGTATTTACAAAAGTACGTTCACTTAGAAATCAGCTAACCTGTATTTCTGATCTGAAATTTTGTTCAAACGAAAAGGAACCCAAATATATTCAATTTGGGCGAGGGCAGACCACTTTTTGCCGAAAATTCGAGCAGCTAAATCATAAACCAACCAGAGAACGCCAAATCTCCCCTAGGTGGTATCAGCTGAGACTGTATATAAACAATGTCTGAATGAACAAGCTTTGCTTTCGTGTACCTGGCCCAAGGAAAACGAGCAAGATTGGATAACAAGAAGGCATAAATTCAGATAACTTAAAAAGTAAACTACAAATAATTAGTCAGTGGATAGTAACTGACTGAGTGAGCGTGAATATCTTCTAAACTGAAGGACAAACTTCCACATTAACGCTACAAAACCCAAACACTTTTAAAACACACTCTTAGTAACTATAGAGCCTACCGATCTAAAAGGATCTGTGTGTGCGAAGAAGAAAAAGACACACACGAAAGATTTATACTAACATTTTCGTTTGCTGTTGACAAGTTCCCTCCGGATTCTGATGAACTCGGTGAATAATTCGACGAGCAATCTACACTATGTTTCACATCCTTTACCAGCGGACTCGAGGAAGGAGTCCGTTTTTGTTGAAATTTCTTGAGCTACAAGGCATAAGAGAGAAATCAAACCTCACGACCATGAATAAAAATGTAGTTTTTTCCCGATAAAAACCATTGCGATAATGTTGTAACCTTTTTCCTGGCCGCGGCCAGCTTTTCTTCCCGACCACTATCAGCCATTTACGAGTTCACGACATTTTGCCACATACATTTAAGCTTAGTTGCCTCGCTTCACAACACAGACCCATCATGCTGCGCGGGCTTTGAATAACCAAAGGATCGTCGCGTAGTATCCCAGCTTTTTAAGAAAACTGTCAATCGGGAAGTTACCGAAAAGGTTGTTAGAAGGAAAAAAAAAAAAAAAAAAAAAAAGAAAAGACTGAAATTGCCTGAAAAAAAATTACCAAAATAGCTTCAAAGTAAAAAACAAAAGGAAAACACTCATTTTTTTAACACATACGTGACGCTTTCTAGTCTTTCCACATAGCTGACCTTCCATAAAATGTAGAACGTACGTCTGATATGTACTTTGTATACGCACTAGCTTAACTCATTAACGAGATCTCAGTAGCTTGGTGCACGAGGATCTAATGTGAGGAGATCTGAGTCGGGTCGGGTCGGGTCGGGTCGGGTCGGGTCGGGTCGGGTCGGGTCGGGTCGGGGGTCAGGTCAGGTCGGGTCAGGTCAGGGTCGGGTCGGGTCGGGTCGGGTCAGGTCGGGTCGGGTCAGGTCGGGTCGGGTCAGGTCGGTCAGGGTCAGGTCGGGTCGGGTCGGGTCGGGTCGGGTCGGGTCACACGATCTGCCAAAGCCTCCACGCCGTTTACTATAGCACTTCTTTTCAATCACTGAATTTTAGAGTGGGCTCCTAGTGACAAGAGGAGTAAAGGATTTCATTAACGTAAGATAATTTAGAAGAATCAGCTAAAAAAAATTTAAAACGGATTCGTTGTCGTACAAGGGCAAGGACGATTAATTTTTTTTAAACAGTGTTATATACTTTATTCTTCTTTATTCTTCAGAAAAGTTTCACTGTTACCTGTTAGGCTAACGTTTCAAACAACAACCATGCTTTTTAACATAAAAAACTTTGTTCATTGCACTAACAGAAGACTACAATTACTATTTATTTAACTAAACCAAATACCAACTTTAAATACAATACAAACAGCTAACTGGTTATGATAAGAGTATCCTTCTTTTACGGTAAACATAAATAAATACATATACGATGGTTTAACCCAGGCTACGGGCGAATATCTTGCGAGTTGCGTAACCTTATTTGGAACACCATTGGGGCAAGGAAAATATACGAGAATTCTATAGTTTCGTGTCTGAGGTTCGTATCGATTACATAAGGCGTGCACGAAAGACAAAAAACAACACAAATGAAACCACGATAAAGTGTAGTAATGAACAATTCAATAACCTGAAATTCTTAAAGGTTCGTTGCTTATGAAGCGAAGCCTTTGGGTCGTTCAGTGCCACCAATTTTTTTTTCATCGCTGTCTGTAATTTTCCCTCTTTTAAGATGTCATTCCGTGGCATATTTTGCACGTTTCAGGCCCTTTTTGGCAAAATGGTATTTTTTTGTAGTAATAATTTTATTAATAGTAATGATAGTTTTTGTACACTTTGTACATTTATCATAATTCAAGTTCGATTCTGATTCTGACGTGCTTAGAAACGTTTATGTAACACTCTATAAAATATCAGGTTTCGACGAGAAGTGTCGCTTTCTAGGCATCTACCATTTCTTCTGCTCCTCAGGGAGCGTGGCAGGAATATGCTGAACGTGGCGATGCTGACTAGTTTCGCAGTGGCTAGGGTGGAATGACCTGCCTCTGGTGCTGTTCTGTATTGGAGGCAGTCTAAAAGTGGCAGCACAGTTGTTCCATTCCCTGCTCCTTGGCAGGTCTGCTTCATAATGTTGAAGACTCTGTCGTGAGCATCCTGGCGAAGGGATCATTTGGTTGCTGATCCACCGAGAAGTGTTGGCATTGGCACGGGTAGCTGTGTTTAGGGTATACTTATACGCGAATAAGCGTTGCGGCACCGACGGTAGTCCACTGCCCTCTTTGTGTCGGCAGGCCTGTTTGTGTCTGCTGTCCGTGTATGAACGATCTTCCACCTTGGCATTTTCGGATCCTTCCTCTGTTTCTTGCTTACACTGACAGCATGGAAGGAAGTTTCGCATATCTGTTTGCAACTCGGGAGCTGGTTGATAGCATCCTTATAGGCAGGAACAGTATTCTTGATCAGTCATTGCTTTCACCGACGAAATGTCGTTACGACGCAATCTTCTCTCGTTCAATTGCGGTTTTTTTTTGTATTTCTTCGCAATCTGTTTTAGAAGGGTTGGTAGCTTTAGAATTACTTGTCCTTATTCCGGTCGAGTCATGCTAATGAGTAAACGATAAGTACTTTCCAGGGTAGTCAGCATGGTGTAAATAATTGTCCAACTCTTCGGTCTCTGTAAAGGGCAACGGAATTGTTTGATGACGTAAAAATTGTGCTTTATTTCATTTGTGAACACAGTACATATATTCCTTGCCATTTGTTTATGAAAATGCGAAGTTTTTGATATGTGCGGTTAGGGGAAGCGTCGGTTTGGTGTCGCGTTTAACACAAAAATCTTTATCTGCCTTTGATGGAATATCTTTGCGGAGTTATTTTTCCCTCCTTTGATTGTGGCTTATTTCTTCACAAGTCATTCTATGAAATTCAGCGGTCCGAAAATTGCCGGCCCTGATTTCAGCGTCTAGCAGATTATGCTATAGGAAGCAACGTTTACCGCAGTCAATATCTAGAATCTCCTTCTAGAAGTTCTGTACGGTTTTTTTGTTCATTAACTGCTGCATGTGTTGCACAATGGCTGCTGGAAGCGAAAGTATCGCCTTTGAATCCTGAACGAGAGGAGTGCGAGTTTGTTTGAAACTCCTGCCTTTTTTCGACATTATTGCATAACGGTGGGAAGAGGCGCTCTCGAAGTGGGTTCATGGTCAGTGTAGTGAACGACCACACACAATTGGATACAAAGAAATACCACTTTTGAATCTTGACACATGCAAATTTGGACTGTATGTCGAAAATGATTCGGGATATCATTGGTTTACATCGTCATGATCGCAAAGCTCTCGACCAATCAGATGCAAATTGTAACCAGACGTTACTCACGTTCTCAGTTGTTACTCACGTTCTCAGACGTATGAGGCATATTACATAACAATCATTATCATAAGACTATTCCGATTATCTAACTTGAAAAAAAATAAAGGAGAACATTATGTAATCTTTTTTTGTGGTTGTCCCGTGTGCACTAATCTGTTGCGTCCTACTTAAGTAGGCTCTATAGGCATTTTACTCAATGTTGGCGCGCGCGCCGGTGCAATGTTTTTCTAAAAAATTTTTAGTTTTAGCTTTCGAAGGTCACTTAAAGCCATCAAAAAGGCAATGAGCAAGGTTCGGACTATTGTTTGCTGTAATAAATACTATCAAAATGATAGTATTTAGCTAAGGCTCTACAAGGGGAGGCGCTCGCCAAAGATAACTTGACTTTGCCTTTGATTTTTTTCAATTCACTTGGGTGAAATCTCTCAAAGAGAATCTTAAATTTTAAAGACTAGCTGATCATATCTTAAAATGCTTAATTAATGACTGAGTTTGGTCGAGCCGACAAGAAAATCGTTCCTTTCATCCATGAAAGCAGACCTCGCTGCTTTGTGCGTGCGACATCTCCAGCCAAATTTTTCCAATCCGAACCTCACGCTCAGTCAATAAGTACATATTTCGACTTCCGATGATAATTTTCTTTGATTAAACAGATTGATGCGAAATTGTAATTTAGTTTGGATACGGTTGCTATTTGACGGTGTTTAGAATGAAAATTGACTGCTTGAGTATTGCTTAATCAGCATTATAATAAGAATAAACTGAGAGGCATATTCTAATGTAGGAACTAACTCCTGAAGAGACACCAAAGTTTCTCTGAATGAAAGGTGTACTCATTTTGGTCCTGCATTCTAAATCCATACCGCTCACCAGCCAACAAAAGTCATTCGTCTTGCATATTATTGGTTTGGTGATTAGACAAGCCTGCTAATCCAGCTGTTATCGACCAAAAAAAACACTGAATTGTTCAAATTAATGATAAAAGCATGAAACTTTGCCACAAAACTTATGACCCGAAGACTACCGTAATTTCCGGTCGATTACCCGCACGGCCGATTACCCGCACCGGCCGATTATTGCATACGGCGAAAAAAAAAGTCAACGGATTACCCGCACCGGTGGATAACCCGCACGTTGTTATTCAACTTTTTCGGTGGCGAAAACGTGACATTAAGGCGATACATTTCAGTCTTTCGATTCAGACATGTGCACAATTCTGTGTCAATATTAGCTTATACTTTATTGATTGATTATTGCTGCTGCTCTATTACCGATTTCATCGGCAAGAGTTATTACTCTAAGCTTATAATCAAACGTAAAACTGTGACGTGGGCGTTTCACAGCAGGCATTTTAACTTAATTGGTGACTCGTGGATACACTTATCGCGAATGATCGAGGTTTATAATTCTTATTCAGTCAGTTACCTTTTTATAGCATGTAGGAGCGTAATGAGCAATATCCATTGTTCATTTGTCGTTAAAATACTTTTTCAGCGCGAAATTAGTTAAGTTTCGCACCTATTATTTTCAACATTCTGGTGATGCATTTGGGATTTAAAATTACTGTCGGCAATTTCTCAAAAAATCGATATCTCCTGTTCTACTGGGCCTAACAAGTCCCTTAAAACGGGAAAATTCTCTTTAGCTCAAGCTAGTGAAAACTGGAAATTTGTTACTGATGCGCCGGATATCCTTGGATTATTTTTGTCACCATCAAGGTTTTGTTTTCACGCGTGCCGATAAAAATTTGTTTGTCACGCAACTAATTATGCGTGAAATAAACTCGAGTTGGCATCATGTTTTCGTGCCGCTTTGTGGCACTTTTGATACAATAAAATTCATTTGAGAGGTGGAAACGCAGGTAGGTGAGAAATTTTTTCAATTCAACTTCCAGAAGAATTTAAAATTGTCACATAACCCGCACCTCCCTATTACCCGCAGTGGCGCGGATTTAATGCAAAATCAACAGATTACCCGCGGGTAATCGACCGGAAATTACGGTAACATTTTCT